CTTGTTCTAGGATTAGTACTTTCTGTTAAAAATGATAAATGTTAAAATACATTTTTTTATTTTGCTTTGTTAAATAATGAGTTTTCATTAAATGTGAAATGATGTTTTGTAGTTTTCAATGTTATTTTTTGCAATTAGAATCCCTTAAAATGTATAGAATATAACCTGAACATTTTCTATATCTTCCATTTCTGAAAAAAATATTAATACAGATCAAGAAATATATGTCCCAACATACAGTTCTGCCTTCCAGTCAGTTTAATATCCAAAACCTTCCATTCAAAATAAAAGATGCCAATTCTTGAAACCTGATGTGTAGGGATCTATTTGTCTCTGAGTTTACAGGAAACTTAGGACATTTTTTCTACCTTAACTATTTTAGATGCTATATTTGTTCAAAGATATGCCTTACCTTTTGCCTTTCCAATAGTTAGGAAGTATTAAATAGAGTGGTGGATGCAATGACAATTCTGTGGAACATAAAACCAAATATACTTTATTTAAGGCTGTGTTTAAAAGGCTTTATGTTTTTATGTGTTTGTGAGGCACAGAAAAAATATTCATTTCTGCAACACTTTTAATGAGCCTTCTTACTGCTTGAACAGATTTTACATAACGTGTATTGCCAGGGAGCTTTTCTTTTCCCTGGAGCTTTGTGATCTCTATTATTGCTTATAAATCTTCTCATTCAAACAACTTAATGCATTTCCCAGTGGATGATGTACCTATAGCTACCAGTCCATTATGTTCTACAAGGGCTCACACAATGTCTGAGTCCAGATTACAATATTCTTATTGGCCTCGAGCCAATGTGCAAAGGAAAGCAGGTTTAGCTATGCAATTACATTCCAGAAGACTTTTAAATAAATTGTCAACTGAATTCAGAATTCCTACAAGACTCCAGCTGCTGTGTCAGATCAATGTGCACCCAATGAGCTGGATAGAAATGAACTTCCTGTTAGTGGTCATACTAAGATATTCTAAGAGTATTCTAGCATATACTTTTCACATATGCATGTGAGAACATTCAGTTTGACATCAACATCGACAATTCATTTAACTAGGATAAAGGCAGACTCCACCATAGCTCAAAAACAGGGAGAAACAGCTTAGTTTTTTACTATCTGTAATGTAAAAAGTGATCTTAAAAGTTCGCATGGGTATAGAGAAAGAATCAGAAGAAAAAAATCGATAGATGTGTATGGAAGAAGCCAAAGGCATGCTGTATTCAATCTTTTAATGTTTGTCGTCTACCATGGGAACAACATAATTCACTTGTGGGATCAAAATCACACAGTTATTGAAATATACATTCAAAAAGGACTGGAGAATAACCCACATGTGACGAGTATTCCTTTGTCACCCATCTCACTTTTACTCAGTATTTAATTCAAAGAAATCTTCACTGTTTTCAATATTCTAGCTATGCCATCTCTGTGCTTCATCTGAAAACACTGGAAAACTGAAAAATATTGGTGAATCCAGACACTTCCCAAGCTGGCTTCTCCCCATGAACTTGAATACCAACTGGATTTCATTAATAGCTTCTTACTTCACTGAAAATCAACACGATTTTCAAATCAGTTATATGCTGAAATTGTACATACTCTGAGGAAACCTGGGTGGATTGTCGTTGACGTCAGTGAGTGTGATATTTACAGTTGTTGACCCTGACAGCCCTCCGACCTGCCCAGCCATATCTTTGGCTTGAATGACAACGGAATAATGCTCTCTGGCTTCCCTGTCCATGTTGTGCAAGGCAGTCCTGATGACTCCTGTGATGGAAAGAAAACAAACAAACAAACAAGAGAAAGATCAGGATTAGATCAGGATTAGCTTGTTTGAGCAAGAAGAAAGGCTGGGCATAACCTTTCTTTTCAGGAAAGGTGGAGCATGGCAGATATTCTGGAAATGCAAGGCTTTTCTACAATCAAAATAAGCTGGCTTTAGTTGTTTGTGTATATATAAATAATATATATTTATTGTGTATGTATATATAAAAAACACAATGCCAGATGCTGCTAGACAATCAACTTGCTTGAGGATATGAAGAAATTAAAATCATATATATTAAAACAACTCATATTAATAAATAATTAATCCAGCTTATATAACATTCCTAGCCAAAAGGTACATTGCCAAAACTCCAGTGTTTTCTCACATATTATAACTGTTTAAATAGCTACTTAATAGGAATATTAATGAATGGGAACTCTTACCCCACTGAAGAAGACACTAATTCCTTTTTAAGAAAAGTTAATTTCTGAATTAAAATATGACATACCTCTTAAATCTACCCAAAAGCTAAACTTTCTTAGTTGACAAATCTCAAAAAACTATACTTTCTTATCTGATACATGTCAATCATATACATTTATGTTCATAATTGTGACTTACCTAATACTTGCCTGTAAAGTGAAAGATGAGCTACTATTGTTTTTACTACAGTACAGAGAGAAAACCAAAATTGAGTGATCCTAAAATTCTATTTATTTATATCCATCACCATCATAAATTTTTTTAACGTTTAGTCAATTACACATGCAGAAGCAAAGATTACAACAACGGAGGAACAGTCAACTCTGTAGGCTCAGTTTCAGTTAAGGGACATTTTTCACTTATGATGATGCCTGTAAATTAGGCCCTGCTAATTTCTTTGATCACAGGCTGACAGAAACCTCATGGAGTTCAGTAAAGGGAAACGTCAAGTCCTGTGCCAGGGAACCAGGACATGCTGTGGACAGACTAGCTGGGAAGCAGCTTTTCAGAAAAGGATCTAGGGGGTCCTCAAGTTGGACACGAGCCAGCGATGTGCCCTTGCAGCAAACAAGGCCAACAGCATCCCAGGCTGCATTATGAAAAGTGTTGCCAGCAGGTCAAGGGTAGTCATACAGTTAGATTCAAAATTCACAGGTATGGTAACGGAGAAAAGGAAACTAACCAAAAGAAAGTCTGCAGTTTAGCTGAGGCTCAGCCTGTCCCAAGGGTTATACACTTGATATATGCAGTTTTGGTTAGCACTTCCTTTGAATTCAATTCTGAATGTGACAAGCCTCAGTAAGTCTCATTTAGCATTCCGTCTAATAAGGAAATTGAAAAGAAATTTAACTGAAAATCATGGCATACAAAGAAAAGAGAAGAAAAATAAACAATGAAGTTATTTCTATTAGTGCAGTACTCATGTATTATTGTAATAGTTCATGATGCTAAGATGGCTTGATTTTAGATCATCTATACTTTTGTTCTGTATTACTAACATATAGCTACCGCTCTTTTGCAAAGGGTTTAAATTATGCTTGTTGAAAAGGAGTAAAAAAGCAATGTCACAGTCATAACTGTGGTATAGGAATCCTATGTAAGGAAAGAGAAAGCCGATGTTTGTACTTTACAAGACTTGTTCTAGGATTAGTACTTTCTGTTAAAAATGATAAATGTTAAAATACATTTTTTTATTTTGCTTTGTTAAATAATGAGTTTTCATTAAATGTGAAATGATGTTTTGTAGTTTTCAATGTTATTTTTTGCAATTAGAATCCCTTAAAATGTATAGAATATAACCTGAACATTTTCTATTTCTTCCATTTCTGAAAAAAATATTAATACAGATCAAGAAATATATGTCCCAACATACAGTTCTGCCTTCCAGTCAGTTTAATATCCAAAACCTTCCATTCAAAATAAAAGATGCCAATTCTTGAAACCTGATGTGTAGGGATCTATTTGTCTCTGAGTTTACAGGAAACTTAGGACATTTTTTCTACCTTAACTATTTTAGATGCTATATTTGTTCAAAGATATGCCTTACCTTTTGCCTTTCCAATAGTTAGGAAGTATTAAATAGAGTGGTGGATGCAATGACAATTCTGTGGAACATAAAACCAAATATACTTTATTTAAGGCTGTGTTTAAAAGGCTTTATGTTTTTATGTGTTTGTGAGGCACAGAAAAAATATTCATTTCTGCAACACTTTTAATGAGCCTTCTTACTGCTTGAACAGATTTTACATAACGTGTATTGCCAGGGAGCTTTTCTTTTCCCTGGAGCTTTGTGATCTCTATTATTGCTTATAAATCTTCTCATTCAAACAACTTAATGCATTTCCCAGTGGATGATGTACCTATAGCTACCAGTCCATTATGTTCTACAAGGGCTCACACAATGTCTGAGTCCAGATTACAATATTCTTATTGGCCTCGAGCCAATGTGCAAAGGAAAGCAGGTTTAGCTATGCAATTACATTCCAGAAGACTTTTAAATAAATTGTCAACTGAATTCAGAATTCCTACAAGACTCCAGCTGCTGTGTCAGATCAATGTGCACCCAATGAGCTGGATAGAAATGAACTTCCTGTTAGTGGTCATACTAAGATATTCTAAGAGTATTCTAGCATATACTTTTCACATATGCATGTGAGAACATTCAGTTTGACATCAACATCGACAATTCATTTAACTAGGATAAAGGCAGACTCCACCATAGCTCAAAAACAGGGAGAAACAGCTTAGTTTTTTACTATCTGTAATGTAAAAAGTGATCTTAAAAGTTCGCATGGGTATAGAGAAAGAATCAGAAGAAAAAAATCGATAGATGTGTATGGAAGAAGCCAAAGGCATGCTGTATTCAATCTTTTAATGTTTGTCGTCTACCATGGGAACAACATAATTCACTTGTGGGATCAAAATCACACAGTTATTGAAATATACATTCAAAAAGGACTGGAGAATAACCCACATGTGACGAGTATTCCTTTGTCACCCATCTCACTTTTACTCAGTATTTAATTCAAAGAAATCTTCACTGTTTTCAATATTCTAGCTATGCCATCTCTGTGCTTCATCTGAAAACACTGGAAAACTGAAAAATATTGGTGAATCCAGACACTTCCCAAGCTGGCTTCTCCCCATGAACTTGAATACCAACTGGATTTCATTAACAGCTTCTTACTTCACTGAAAATCAACACGATTTTCAAATCAGTTATATGCTGAAATTGTACATACTCTGAGGAAACCTGGGTGGATTGTCGTTGACGTCAGTGAGTGTGATATTTACAGTTGTTGACCCTGACAGCCCTCCGACCTGCCCAGCCATATCTTTGGCTTGAATGACAACGGAATAATGCTCTCTGGCTTCCCTGTCCATGTTGTGCAAGGCAGTCCTGATGACTCCTGTGATGGAAAGAAAACAAACAAACAAACAAGAGAAAGATCAGGATTAGATCAGGATTAGCTTGTTTGAGCAAGAAGAAAGGCTGGGCATAACCTTTCTTTTCAGGAAAGGTGGAGCATGGCAGATATTCTGGAAATGCAAGGCTTTTCTACAATCAAAATAAGCTGGCTTTAGTTGTTTGTGTATATATAAATAATATATATTTATTGTGTATGTATATATAAAAAACACAATGCCAGATGCTGCTAGACAATCAACTTGCTTGAGGATATGAAGAAATTAAAATCATATATATTAAAACAACTCATATTAATAAATAATTAATCCAGCTTATATAACATTCCTAGCCAAAAGGTACATTGCCAAAACTCCAGTGTTTTCTCACATATTATAACTGTTTAAATAGCTACTTAATAGGAATATTAATGAATGGGAACTCTTACCCCACTGAAGAAGACACTAATTCCTTTTTAAGAAAAGTTAATTTCTGAATTAAAATATGACATACCTCTTAAATCTACCCAAAAGCTAAACTTTCTTAGTTGACAAATCTCAAAAAACTATACTTTCTTATCTGATACATGTCAATCATATACATTTATGTTCATAATTGTGACTTACCTAATACTTGCCTGTAAAGTGAAAGATGAGCTACTATTGTTTTTACTACAGTACAGAGAGAAAACCAAAATTGAGTGATCCTAAAATTCTATTTATTTATATCCATCACCATCATAAATTTTTTTAACGTTTAGTCAATTACACATGCAGAAGCAAAGATTACAACAACGGAGGAACAGTCAACTCTGTAGGCTCAGTTTCAGTTAAGGGACATTTTTCACTTATGATGATGCCTGTAAATTAGGCCCTGCTAATTTCTTTGATCACAGGCTGACAGAAACCTCATGGAGTTCAGTAAAGGGAAACGTCAAGTCCTGTGCCAGGGAACCAGGACATGCTGTGGACAGACTAGCTGGGAAGCAGCTTTTCAGAAAAGGATCTAGGGGGTCCTCAAGTTGGACACGAGCCAGCGATGTGCCCTTGCAGCAAACAAGGCCAACAGCATCCCAGGCTGCATTATGAAAAGTGTTGCCAGCAGGTCAAGGGAGGGGATCCTTCTCCTCTGCTCACCGCTGGTGAGGCCACATCTGGAGTGCTGGGTCCAGTTCTGGGCTCACCAGTACATAAAAGACGTTGATAGACTGGAGTGAGTGACATAGAAATAAATAAATAAATATGTGAAATGCTAAATTTATTAACATTAAATTTTGAAAAAACTAAATTTTTGGCATAACTTGGTTTTGGACTCTTAAACTGAGTGGCTGTTATAACTAGTAAGAAAATATACCATAGCATGATCAGGTGTTGCTTCTGGGTAAATTTTAAACGTATAATAGCCATTAACACAAAGCAACTTAGGAAGGAGAGCCTTGCTCTCCTAGACAATCTGCTGTACAGCATGATTCTTAAGATTTTTGATTCCCACAGTCTCAGATGATGCAAAAAGTGACTTCCAGAGCACTACTTTTCTTGTACTTTAAAATTACTTTCTTTGCATTTCTTCAGTAAAGCCATTTACATATGAAATGGAAATTTTCATGTAGCTTATACCATTGTTTCCATTCTATTCTGAATGTAAAACACACGTAAATAAGTAGAACTATCCACAAAGAATAATATTCTAAAGTATCCATGAAGATTCAGAATGATTTTAAGAAAGTATTGCGCTGTAAATTCCTTTTCATCAGAAGCGTAGATTCTGGACAAGCTGGCTAAAAATCGTATACCAGTCTGTTTTAGTTCATCAGTGTTTTTTCCTTTAAATGATACAGTTAGAAGCAGATCTTTTTTCACAAATTTCACCATGAAATACTGAAATTAACCACAATTTATTCATACTATACATATACATACTATAACAGAAAGGAGACATTTTATCCAAATGGAGACATTTGGATAAAAGGAACTGATATAACTTAAATATGCAGTTTCATCAAAATCAATATAGTTCACAAAATCTGGTACTACCATTCTGAAAATTCATTTTACTGAAAAATAGGAAGATAGAAAAGTATTAAAATTAAAAATGTCCTGCTTGGACAGTTTTCAAAGAAATTGCTTCAGTTCTTCACATTGAAACCAAATTTATTGGAACATTTAATGTTTATGTATATGCATGGAGGAAGTATGGAATTTAAAAAAAAAAAATCCTTCCATTTCAATTTGAAAAAGACTAAATTTTACACAGTGGAACATCTGTCTTCTGTACAATCCTCATAAATACACTAGCCACTCTTACATTAATAATTGAAAAAAACCAGAAATTCCTCTGAATTACAATTACTTTCCTCTTCCTTTTTGCTTCAAGGGGTGTGGTACTGAATCAATGCTTGTAGACAGTTAATAAGGATTTGTGGATGACTAATCATTTGTTCTCTCCTACTTGCATTAGATTCCTCTTTTCTGAAAACTGAGTAAATGAAAATGGGCAAGTTTTTAATTCCAAAAATTTGTATCCAGAGTTTAGAATAAGAAAACTGGTTTTAATTTTGGGATATGCTGAAGGACAGGAGATAAGGGAAGATTTAGTTCTTTTTCTTTTCTTGGTTGCCTATACATAGATACATCCTAAAATTATATCATCAGTATGAGGTATGTAACTACCGTGAGGACCTTGATGTTCTATTCTTGTCACTAGCAGCTCCACCAACTGTTCTGGCACTATAGCACTAAAATCATACATAATTTCAAATTTCTCTAATGAGCCCAAAAGGTGTAAGGAGAACTTTCTTGGTTGCCTTTTCCGATAAGGTAATATGAAATGCTCCAGCAGTTCCTTTTAAAGTAGGAATTGCCCCTGAGTATCTTCAGTATACTTGGCAGGGGGTCCTACACATCCCACAAGAAGACAGGAAGTTCATATTAAGGAAGACATCTCCCTGTCTAAAACCGTGAGGAAAGAAACTGAAAAAGAAAACTACCACAGGCTTTTTAAATTTAAACACAGCCTTAATTTTGCCTCATATTTGTTAGGCAGCACTGCTACCCTGTTAACTGAGTACTTTTCAGCTATGTATCTAATATTTATTCATCTTTACTAAGAAAGGAAAGCAAGAAAAAAAAAAAAGCAAGATGTAGACATCATTACACGAACACCCCACCCTGTTTCTGGTATTAAGTGAAGAATTTTTACAGAAGTTTGACTGCTATGTCAAAAATCATGTACAACATGTGGAGGTTTAGATCTATTGGAATGGAACTGAGAAGGACACACAGCTCTGGACCTCTGGCCTGCTGAGTTTATTCATACCTATTTCCATCTTAAAATTATGTGAGATGTATTCTCCCATGTGGAAAGCTCTCCCAGAACATACTTTTTCTTCTAACTTCTTGTCTAAATTTATTAACCTCTAAATCACACCAATTTTTGTTTTTTTTCTCTGACAATTTCTAGTCTTGGAAAGCACATTTTCCAATTTGAATTTATCTTCCTTGACCATGGATGACCAGAAACCTACCTACATTCCAGATGAGATTTTATCACCACCTTTTCTAATTACAACTTTTTTTTTATTTATTTTTTTTCCCAGATTACATCACACTGGTGATTCATCTATGATTGACTAATATACCCAGGACATTCTCCTCCAATGACACTTCCAAATTAATGAGACCAGAGTTACTGTAGAATCATAGGATATCTCGAGCTGGAAGGGACCCATAAGGATCATTGAGTCCAACTCCCTGCACCTCACAGGACTAATTAAAACTAAACAATATGACTAAAAGCATCATCCAGATAGTCTTACAATTAGTCCTGCAACATGGCCTTTACTAGAGAATACTGTTAAATTTCATTATGTTCTTCCTCTTGCCCTCAAAGATATAAGCTTCTTCCTCTGTACTGACGGTTCCTCACAAGTTTTTGCAATCAGGAAATTTCTTCATGAAGGTCCTGCATTTATTCTCAAAACATCAGACAAAACTGGCCGAGAAGAACATTGAGATGAAAGATTGGTATGTCTACTACTGTGAATAGCTCCTTTTCTTTCCTTTCACCCAACGCCTCCGGATTTGAGAAAGCCCTGAAAATAGGTTTATTTTTGGCAAGTTATACTTCCTTCTCCACTCAGGCTCTCTGAATTTATTCCTGATACTGAACTGCAGTCAATTCCTTTTTTTTTTCCCCCAACTTTTTTTAAAAATACTTCTATGCTCTGCGGCATCTGACTGTGTTATGTTGTCTTTTTTAGCATTCTGTGAAGAACCATTTTACTTGCATGTAAGAAGAGCTACAACAGAAGGCTCAGCTGTAACTGAGACTGTAAAAATCAAGGCTTTTTAACTCAAGTGTAGACAATTATTAAGAAAATGTCTGTCACAGCCAAGTACCTAACTGTGCATTTACCAAAGTATTTAACTATGTTCCTACCTGACAGTCTGGTACACTTGAAGTAATTTATCTTATTACTTATACAAAATAAGAACTTATTTTAGATTCAGTAACCACTGCAGAATTTTAGTCAGCTTTATCTTACAGCCTACTCCTGCATGATGTGTGAATGGAACCTTCTCAGAATAAACCATGGTTCATTTTAACATTTTGAGCTCAAAGGTTTTCTATCTAGTGGGGAAAAAAAAACCAACAAAACAACTCCACTTTCATGACAAAATAGTTTGTCATGGGAAAGTTAATTTTTTTTGTTTGGAAAATTTCCATTCTGTTGTTGGATCATGAGCCTGGTCACTAGAGATTTCATGAAGGGCCAGTAGGTCATACTAGATCCCCCATATTCTACTTTCTTATATATCTGTCTTGTCATGACCACAACCACTAAATGGTTCAAAATAATTTTAAATATCTATTTAATAACTAATTAAATATGTGATTTTACTAATTATTGAGGGAAGTGAACTGTTGCAGATGGTAATTTCATTAATATTATTTTTATTTTGTGACTAAAAGCTCTATTTTTATAACTTTTTTGTTTTAGGATAT